AAGGAGGCCCCATTCTTCTGAGCTTGAGAACATGGACAGACCTTCCCGGTCTCATGAGTCTGAAGGCAGAGAAGAGGTCAGAAGATCCCAACATCCTGAGGACATAGAGCGGAGAAGGCAGGACCTCATCCAGGAGGAAACCCGTGCAACAGAAAGCGGAAGAAGGAGACCCCAATCCCAAGAACCTGAACCCAGGGACCCCAAGTATGATAGATCTCAAAGTTATGAAGAACCAAGGAGAGATGATCAGAGGAGACCCCGTAACTACGAAGTTCGGTCCCAAGAAAGAGATGCTGAAAGGAGGAGGAGGCTCCAGCCTCGTGAATTAGTTGAGAGAGAAGACAACCAGGAGAGACAACATTATGAACGTGAATCCCGGGATAGGGAGAGAGATGGGAGACGTGCCATGTCATTTGAAGCTGAAACCAGAGATGAAGTCCGGAGAAGGCCTCAAGAAAGTGCCTCCAGATATGGTGAAAGGGAGAGACTTCCAGAAGGAGATGCCCGAAGGAGACGTACAGGACGAGACCTGGCGAGTCCTTCTGATGTTGGTCGGAGAGAGTTTGATCCCAGCAGCCCACAGCAGATTTCCAGACGCAGAGACCCTGAACTCCGAAGATCTGAGCCCCGTAGCCTTATGCCAGCCACGAAGGACTAGAAAACGAAGGTTGAAGCCAAAGTAAGCAGCAGTGAGGTAACTATAAGTTCTCCAGACCTTGAGAAACTCCCAGTAATTCTGGTCCGCTTTGTTTGTAGTTGTAGCCTTATTATATTCAATAACGCTATATTTTCCCACCTATCCCAGCCATTCGAGTAACGTTGAAGGAACCATGATGAACAAACGGAAGTCACCCATCAAGAGTGTTTCTCAAGGTGGACTAATGCAAACCAGCCTGGTTCTCCCTTGATATTCAACGTACGAAAGTGTCCTGCATGAATGTGTTCACCGTTGATCAAATGACCGTCAACTCCGCTGGATTGTTGAACACCGACAGCCTCTATTTTCCCCTTCCCCTTTCTTTAATTTTTCTAACTCTGGATTTAGGGTAAACTTGGTGGATGGGTGGGTTTTTGGTGGACTACTGGTGATGGAAATGAAACAAGATAAATAAAGTGCAGTTTCTTCTAAACAAAGTTGTTTGGGTTTTGAGTTGACTTTTAGTTCTTGGGTGGACACTTTGGGGTTAGAAACAGGTGAAGTCACAATCCACCTTGCAGAAAACGATGGAAATTTTGCACTGGAGGCAGAAGAAAGTAATAGAGTGAAAACTCATCAAGGAGAGAAGCAGCCAAGAACCAAGGAAACATTTCCCAATAGTGAGGACAATTAATTAGTAGAACAGCTTCCTTCTAGAAGTTGTGGGTGCTCCAACACTGGAAGGTTTTGAGAAGAGACTGGGCAGCTACTTGTCTGAAATGGTATAAGTCAGGGGTCGCCAACCTTGGCAACTTGAAGACTTGTGGACTTCAACAAAGCAAAGCAAAGCCGGCTGAGGAATTCTGGGAGTTGAAGTCCACAAGTATAAGGTCTTCTTCTTGAGAGGGGTTTGGGTTAGAAGATCTCCAAGGTCCCTTCCAACTCTGTTACTCTGTATCCTCTGAGCGTGGAGAACAACATTCTCTAAAGCAAGGATTGACAACTTGAAGACGTGTGGATGTCAACTCCCAGAATCCCCCAGCTAGAACCGACTGGGGAATTCTGGGAGTTGAAATCCGTTCAAGTTTGCCAGGGATGAGAAACACAGCTCTAAAATAAAGTCCCATACCTAATCCAATTTTCACAAAATAATCTGCTACCTATTCATTAACCACAAGATGGAGCTCGAAGATCATCAGATGTTGTTTGTCTAACTAAAGCCATATGCCGGTTTACAGGACCTCCTAATCGTAATTCGGAAGCTGGGTTTTTCATCACAGCAGGCTAAGATTAAAATATGTGGGTAGTTTTTGACTGAGAACATAACTTCTAAGTGAGATCGTAGGATTTCTTTTAGGGAATTAAAACTAGTCCCCTTTTTTGGGGGTGAATTATTCCTTCTTCCAAACACACAAACGTACCAAAAGCGCAGAGAAGAACAACTAAGACGATGAAAGGCCTGAAGATTAGAACATATGAAGAACAGTTGCAGGATTTGGGTTTGGTCAGTCTAGTGAACAGAAGGACTGGGTGGGAAATGATAGCAGTGTTCCAGTATTTTTTTTTGGGGGGGTGGGGCTGCCACAAGGAAGTGGGGGTCAATTTATTCTCCAAAGCACCTGAAGGCAGGACAAGAAAGAACTTCCTAACCGTGAGGACAATTAACCAGTGGAACTACTTGCCAACATGTAACCTGGATTAAACTGAATCCAAATTAAGTACAGTGGATGGGGTGATTTTAACATCTCCTGGACATTGCTGAGCAGAGCAATTCTCCACCATCCCAAAGGTCTCCATAAGATTTCCTGGTTGGCTTCTGCTAACATCTCCCTGTTTTGTAATGGAGTTGGGTTGGGCCCTTAAAATCATATCTCCTCTTTCAAAAAGATCTATTTTGGATCTATTCCTCCCTGATCTGCAGACTAACCCCAAAGCTAGCTTAATATCCCAAATTACCGATTTCAATTAGGTAGAACAAACTCACAACTGATCTTTGAACAAAATCTAGAGAAGATCAAAGTATCGCTGGCTAGAAGTCCCATACAGTTTGGACAACCGAAGAAGTCCATGAGTGTTCCGCCAAATCCTGAACTCCCAACTGAAGTATTTTCAGCTTGAATTCTTCTAAGCCCAGGTGTAGACCTTAACAATTTATTCTCACAAGTAGGACATGTCTCTTGAGTCAACCAACCCAGGAAGAGTCCTACTTCGTAGGTGGAGACTACTGGACAACAGAAGTGGATAGTCTTTCTCACTCTTGACCTTGTAGTCTACGATTGAAAGACCAACACAAACTCAACAAGGGTCCGTTTGGATGATGGTTACTTCTTTTTAAGCATTCATTGTGTCGCAAAAAGGAAGCATGCCACATGTGCTAGCAAATATTCTTTTATTTGATCACAGAAAGAAGCAGATTTTTTTTTTTTTTAGAAAGAATGATTTAGATTGCTTGAGATACACAAGGAATTGAAGGTTAGCTATGCATTTTTGTCCCTTTACATCACTAGGTTGTGACACGGTTGAGCCAGGCTTTTCATTCTACAATATGGTGGACATCTAAGGCCGTAGGGCTCAACTGGACAACTTGAAGATGAGTGGGATTTCAACTCCCAGAATTTCTCTGTCACCCAGTATGGCTGGGGATTTGTGGAAGTTGACGTCCACCCATCTCTTAAGTAGCCAAGATGGAGAAAAATTGACCTAAGAAGAACTAAAGCATGTATAGTATGAACTGAAGCACAATCATCTCATGAACAATTTTGTTATACAAATCTGACATTCATTGGATCATTGGGGAAATTAACTGAATGCAAAACTGGATCCTTTATTGCGTTATGGAACAATTGCTGATACATATTAGTGACAATATAAAAGATAGCTAGAGATGGAGGCTGTATTCAATAAACCACCCATCCTGAGCTTCACAAAGTCCTACTTGTGATACTATGGCTAAGTGTGCCTACAGGGAATCAAGTACGAGAGAGAACATGGCTATAAAAATCTCAGGATTCTTCTCAAAGATTCCTTGCATGTAGAAATGAACCAAGTTTGAAGCAAGAATCCAGGTTCTTCATGAAGCAAAGCAAAATCTAAACTATTTGAGATCCACCAAGTTTAATGCAGCTCACCCCTGACATTGACTGCAACTGGCTGAGGGCTGTGCTTCTCCACCCACGTTTTGTAGATGTGGTTGGTGAGCAAACCCAGGAAGGTCTTCTCCAAAGCTGCCACATGTCCTGGGACGAGATGGATTGACCTTGGTGGATCATCTCTGTTTCCATGGTTTTGTGGAGAATTTCTTGGCTTTCTAGGAAGTGTTTATTGCTTTGTAGACCAGGGAGGAGGGAACTGTAATGCCCTCTGTTTTAGCTGGAACTGGGAAGGTTGGAATGGACGTCTGGGAGAAGAATGTTGGGAGAATTGGACAACTGTGAGCTCTCCAGGCTCACCACGTGGGTATCTCTCAGCTATTTGAGGCCTAGTCACTTCTTGAGACACAGCTCTCTGCTCTGATGGACCACGTTGGCATTCTAATGTTGCGGGATACCTTTCCTTTTCTTGATGAGGTCGGTAGACTGGCATTTGAGGTTCTTGACGTCTACTTATGACCTGCCCTGGAGCTTGAACTTCTTGGTCCTCTTGGACAACCGAACGCTGCTCAAGTCCTTGAGATTGACATCTCTGTTGGTCATTCTGATGCTGTCTGAGTGTGACAGAACAAGATTCTTGGTCACAAATCTGGACCACCTGGGGATTTCGGACGTGGCCAGATGCAGATCTTCTTCCTTCAACCTGCACTTGCTGGTTTCTTCCTCCAGAAGACCTTTGACAAGTTTCTTGCAATGGTTCCCCAGCTGAGATTTGTTCCAGCTCTACAGCAGACTGTTGACTTCTTCTGTCCTGCCCCGATGTTTGGGAGGTCACTTCCTCCTGAAGTGTGCTGCTCTGCTCTTCCACCTGACATTGTTGGGATGATTGCTGGGGAGCACTCTGAAGAACATCTTGACTTGCTTCTTGATCTGGGCTGAGAGGTTCCTGAAGACAGCGGCGTCTGGGGGGAAGAGCGCTTGGATGCCCCTGGGAAGGAGCCTGTTCAGTTCTCATTTCTGCCGAAGATGTTTGGCAGGTGAGATTTCCCCTTATCATATCCTCAATTGTTCTCTGAACTGATTGCACCCTTGAAGTTTGTGTTCTTGGGTGAGTAGAAGCCTCTTCCTGTTGGGACTGCTCCTTTTCATCATAACTGGTCTCCAATCTGGTCCTCTTCCTTTCCTGTTCCTGAGGCAGTTCCTCTGCATCTAAAATATTCTTAGGGGGCACTAGTTTCTGGCAAGGACGAGGAGACACTTGTGAAGTTTGTGTTTCCCCCTGCTGTGTGGTGGAGGTATGTCTCTGGGATGGTTCATCTCTGGATATTTGTTGAGGTGGGATGTCCCGCTGTTGTGTGCTGGTGATATCTCGC